AGAGGATTGTGTTCTTGAGTTTTTCACAGAGAGGGAAAAATCTTCAGCTGAAGTTGGGTTTCCAAACGGGTCAGATTTCAACCCGGTTCTACATGCACCCTCTTTTAAAAACTCACTGTTGGATGAAATCCAACGGCTCTTACATACCCCTCAAAAAAACACCTTATAACTTTCCACTCACTATAGAAGCACTCCTTGAGGAAGTTGTTGGGCCCAAAAGATCAATAGACTGCACCAGCTTTACTTCGCGCCTAACGAAGGCCGCCCAGGCCCAACTAAAGCCCACAAGGGCACAAGAAACTGACTTACCATAGTGGAGTAGTGTTGCAATTCTATATGAGTGGTCAAGGGTTCGAATCCCCTTGGTCCTGATTTTGGGAATTTAAAGCATTTATGGTGGTGTTGGTTCGGTTAAGTTGAATCAACAATATTGGAGGCTATGAACCGTAAACTGGATTGAGTAGGAGTGGTTCGATTCAGTTTAAGAACCAAAATTGAAATCTTAGAAAATAAGACCGAACTGATTAGTTTGGTTAAGTGGGTTTGCCGATTTGCATCGGTTTATTTGGTCAAAACCCCTACCCTTCACCGTGGCTTCATATTATTTATACAAATTTATAAATAAACCCAATCCTAGACATGTATTTATAAAAAAACCCAAACACTATTTTAACATAGAAACACACCCAAAATCAACAATTGTATATTTTTTGGGTGTGTTTATAAATGAGTTTTGAGTGTGTGTAATGATGGGTTTTGGGTGTGTTTATAAAGTGTTTTGGGTGTTGGATTTTTTTATAATTTCAGCCCCCATTTTGGGTGTTTTAGTAAAACTCCCTATTATTTATTCATGGAACTACTCTAAATTTATCCAATATGCAGGGAGGGGGGCTCGAACTTAGGTGCAAGAAAGTGAACTCACTATCCTCGTCAACTGGCCTAATCCACATGCATTTCACTTAACTCTAATGCTCAACAATGATGTTACAACGTTGCTGAAACATGAGCGTAGAGTGGTTTTCAACCTTCAAGTGTTCAAGTGCTACTTACTTTTGTAAGCATGTGTTCTCTAGCCATCCGGATATTTTGTGGGCCAGGTAATTGCCATAAACTATAGTACCATACTTACATTTTGTGCAAAACCAAAATGAGGAAACCAGAAGAGTTTAAAAAGCAACCTTACCTGACTTGAGATGAGGTACCAGGAAATCGGAACCAAGGAAACAGAAGATGGGGAAGATAAATACAAACTTTAAATTTCATGCAGACAATATACTTCAAGACTTAAACATGGAAAGCAAGCAGCACAAGTACCAACTCAATGACGGTTTCATACTGGCGTTTTATTCAGTCATTTGGTATAAGGAAAATCTGCAAGAACCTTTTAATTATTTCCTCTTCCAAATGGTCCAGACATCACAAAATTGGCCTATACACGTTCCATTACCTCATACAAAACTCATTTTTGGTTCTACTCTAATGAATTTGTAGGGTCACAGTTCTTCTGAATCAGAAGCATCTTGAAGTCGTGGGCTTTTTCGGTGAATCCAACGTCTGTGAATGCATTCAAAAGCCTCTTACAGGCAGAAACAACAGAATCTGTAGTGGTTGATTGCTTCCACTGATCAATAACTTCTCCCACTTCTTTTAGCTGTCCAAGCATTAGATACGAAGAAAGAATGCAAATATAGTTTCTACTTGTCATCTTTTGTCTCGTCATTATCAAGGATTTCCATATCTGATCAATTCTGTCTTTATTTCCTAAACCAGCATGCAAAATAATGAGGAAGTCGTATGTAATCCATTCTCTTTGTGTGATTCCTTTCTCAGCTTCTACTAGAGAATTGGACTCTGCATTCACAAGATGCCCAACGCTAACATAGATATTTGTCAGGTTAATGTATCTCTCCCAATCTTCACCAAAACCAAGATCATATCTCATTTCATCTAAAATCTGTTGAACTTGATCAATTTTCAGAGTTGCAGCACATGAACTTATCCAGAGATTGTATGTGAAGATATCTGGGGCAACCTTCTGCCGTTTCAGTTCTTCAACAACTAAAGAGACCTTCTCCACTTGCCCCACTGACATGTACATAGTCATCATCTCATTGTATGTAAGGGCACTAAGGGAAAGTTTAGACTCCTTTATTTTCTCATAAAGGTCCTCAGCCTTTTCAGTCAATTTAGCCCCAGCATAAGAGTGGAGGAGAGCAGTATAGGTCTCAGTAGTTTTTGCAGTAAGAGGTAGACCTTCAAAGTAGCGTTCCGCAGAATCGATACCAAAAACTTTTGTCATCAAGACAATGCGGACTGCATAGTCAGAATCTGATACCTCATATTCACCATGGCTGACCATCCACTCGGATATCTGCAAGCTTGTATAATTTACAAAACAGAATCCATTAAATATTTAGCAATTACATTCCCAACAGAGAACTGATAGAGATACGAATATCAAATTTAATTGTCTTCCTAAGGTTCATCTTTTGGAACAAGAAACAAATAGTAGTTTGGTTATTAGCAATAACTTATCCCTCCGCTTAGTCAATCAATCAGTTCTTAGCAATAACTTGTCCCTCCGCTTAGTCAATCAATCAGTTCTTAGCAATAACTTGTCCCTGTTTAAAACCACTAGTTAAGTCCCTTAATTAGTGATAAAATTTCCAAACAAAACAATCATCAGAAAACTAGATACAGTGAGAACGAAAAGAAAAGGCACACAGATCAGAGCAATACTCTAATCTGGAGGGAGGGGGAGAAAGGAGTCTGTTTGCTGCAGAGCTTTAGACTACTTCAAGATCAAACTTATCCAAATGATTGAGCTTTGGCCAACCATTTACTAATAAAATCAGACTTAAAGTATTAAAAGCTAAACCCATTGCCCCAAGCCTCAAACCAGGGCCACAAACAAAACCCTTGTCACGCGTCCCCATATTTTTATATTGCCAATTAGTTTCCAATAACTTATGCGTCCAGATTTTTTCAAACTTCCAGAAACTTTTTTGAAAGCATGTCACTTTCTTGAGACAAAAAATGGTGTAACAATTATTTTCAAAAAAGATCAAAAGAGAAAGCATACCTAATCCTAGCGTAAGAAAGGCTAATTGTCTCATATGGATTGTCTAGAGAATAGTCTGTGAAGTAATGCTACATTTAACAGCTTGGTATTGTGGAAATAAAAACCTGTATCATGAAACAAAATGAAAACTGACATCACCCAACAGCTTCACCTAGCCCAACCTACTAAAGTTTTATGTCAGGAAAAAAAAAATATATTTCTTAGGCTTATTAACAAAACATAAACAAGGTTGTCTGTGAGATATATGGGGATGAAAGTTCTTCTAGCACAGTCGCCTAGAACTTACTAGCAAAGGATATACGCGAGAACCGGTCATAAATTATTTTCAAACTGAGAGCTTCAACGCATAGTGCTCACATATTTCCTTTCAACATTACCTAAATGTATGAGCCTATAAACAGGTGATTTTTTATCCGTTTTCCAATGCTCATCCTGTGACTTAACATAATGCTTGGCATTAACATGACATCATTTTAAACCTTTTCTAAACCAACCATTTTCTAGAACAAAGGTAAATAGTTATTCAATCTATCATAAGTGATTCCGTTTATTTAATCAATAATTGGAATTGTTCAACAAAAACCCATTGGAATTCGTTTGCGTATGAAAAGTATGCAAGTGCCCCATAGATTCCAAATAAACAGAACAATATTTCAGATCCACAACCTTTACAGTGCCAGAACAAATCCTACTTATGTTATTCATACCCAGAAAAAGAAAAAAACTACTCTAAAGTTTCAAGCTTTCGCCTTCCCATCGTCTCTAGGCAACCAAACAGTGCAAAAAACATAAAATCAAAAGGAGAAAAAAAGAGAAAAATTTCCAACCTCGAGAGCGTGCTTGTAACGCTGAGACTTCCTAAGGTCCTTCGAGATATGACGAAGCTCTGAAAGGGTAATTTGGTTGCCTTCACTGACCCAATTCTGAAGAACGTTGGTGACGCTTCGCTTGGGCAGCCTCACCCTGAAGATTCTGCTCTTGAGGTCCTCATTTTCCTGAGAGTCTTGGACACATTCACTGCTGAGAGCACCTGAAGAGAACAATCTAGAAAGATTGGGTCGCAAAGTGTTGCTGACGACGCTGCTCGCACTGCATTTCCTAGGGTTTGCAACATAAGAAGTTCAGAGTTTGAAAATTTTGTGTAATTTGGCACTGAGAAATTAAGAAATCAATTGGGTTTGAGCTATGAGATTCAAAAGCATTGAACTCATCTTGGGTTAGAGGTTTTGATTAAAACCCGAGCATTTTGAAATTCAGAGTATTGGTTTTCCTTTCATTTTCTGCTTTTTCTCGGCAGCCAAACGGAGAAATGGGCAAACAGATTGAAGAATTTGATTGTGCTTACCGTCTGAGAGTGAGGAAGAGTGACCGAGAAGCCATTGACGCTGCTTCGATATCGGATTGAGCTCACACCTTTTCGGGTTATCAGTCTAATGCACCTGCAGCAACATTTTGTGACCTGCTTACGGACAGTCTAACTCGATAGTTTTTATACAAATTTATAAATAAACACAATCTTAGGCATGTATTTATAAAAAAATCTAAACACTATTTAAATATAGAAATACACTTAAAATTAACTCAAGAGTCAATAATTGTATATTTTTTGGGTGTGTTTATAAATGAGTTTTGAGTGTGTGTAATGATGGGTTTTGGGTGTGTTTATAAAGTGTTTTGGGTGTTGAATTTTTTTATAATTTCAGCCCCCATTTTGGGTGTTTTAGTGAAACTCCCTATTATTTAGTCATGGAACTACTCTAAATTTATCCAATATGCAGGGAGGGGGGCTCGATGTGGTCATGCTATATCAATTAATAAATATTGGCATGTGAATTCTATTTATATTTATTTTATTTTTTAATAATCATTAAAAAAAAAAAACAAAACAAAACCCTAGCATCCCTCGTCTGTAGATCACGCTTTATTTGCTTTTCATCTCCAGCACTCCCTTCCTCCATCAAATCCACCCATCCCTATCCTCCATTGTTGTTGAGATTTGGAGTTTTCTCAATAAAATCTTCTACCACTTTTATTTAGGGAGTTTCACTAAAACACCCAAAATGAGGGTTGAAATTATAAAAAAAAATCCAAGTACTATTTAAACATATAAACACACCCAAAACTCATCATTACACACACTCAAAACCCATTTATAAACACACCCAAAAAGTTGACTTTGGAGTTGATTTTGGGTGTGTTTCTATGTTTAAATAGTGCTTGAATTTTTTTATAAATACATGTCTAGGATTAGGTTTATTTATAAATTTATATTTTATTTATTTAAACGTAGTCGTACATAAGCGTAAAACATTTGTAAAAAGAAAATTGAAAATCGATAAATTGATATCGAAGTTGCTGTT